TTGTAGGTTGCCATATTTTCAAACTTTAATTTATTTTCTTTTAATTGCAAAGCATTTATACAGCGGATTCTTGATATTTCACATTTGTATTGCTATAAAGTTTAAATAACAATAAAAAGTAACAATTTTTAATAACAAAAATCAATAAATAATATATTGAAAAATATTACACAATTAAATTACAATGGGGCAACACACATTGCAACTTAAATTACAATATGGCCACACACAGCGCAACTTAATTTACGATATGGCAACACGAATCTTTTTTTCAACCACCATTTTCGAAAACTCGAATCTGCATCTCGCATTTTTTGCGTCTCCCTATTCATTCAGAATAAGGCGAGAATGTGAAAGCGAAAATTTTTTTATATGCGAGATATCTCCCAGCGAATATCCAGAATAAGGCTGAATAATATTCATTGGGTATAAATAAACAGAATATAAATAAACAGTCGCGGACAATCAGCAGGTCCTGGAGGAGTTTTGGAGGAAATGGCCAATTGCCTATGATCCCAGGACTGAGGATGCGAGAATGACACCTCCAAATACACAATTGGAGGTCTTAGGTCACTTTCATTTCTATGTGGCCTTCCTAATGCTGGGGTGTTGGTCGACCGCAGTGTTTACGGTTTGCAGTCATGGTCCCGACTGTATTCGAACAGATTATTGTTGATACCTGTACGCCTCAGCAAGATTCTTCCGGCTTTGCTGCCGAGTCATTACCATGTGGTAAGAGGCTATGTCATTCCAAAGAGATTTCTGAGAAGAAGATATACTCGCAGAGATATTAATTTCTGCAACCGATTTATCGGACGGGACAGGGACTCAATCAGTGATAAAGAATTCCTTCGTCACGTGTGAAGTCAATTTCTGATCTCTCAGCCCCCTTCAAGGGACCTCTTGAGTGTTCAGAAATCCCGGACATCATCCTCCACTGCGAAGGAAGGAAGGCTGATCGAACACAACCTCCCTCTAAGCAAAATAACTAAACCTGCTAAGCCGCCTGCTGCTAAATTTCCAAAAGCCAAGCCTAAAGTGACGAATACGAGGTAAGTGCTTGCGACAGCTGCATCAACCTCTGCGACAGCTGAAACTTTGGGGGAATCATATCGAACACAACTAATAGCTGTGAAGAGATTAAGGTACTTGGATGAGCAAAAACCTCTTGCCAAAAGACCCACGCAGTCGCTAGATGCACTGAAAACTGTTTCGTTTGCGTGGAGGACTTCTTTTGTAGCCGATAGGATTTTGAAAGATATGTCTTCTACATATCCGTTCAATATGTCTCTAATGACGACTAATGTGGCTTCTCTATGGACGATTATTACATAGTTTTATGCACAACTAATAAGTCGTTCTTGTGGGGGATTATTAGGTCTTAATTTATGCCAAAGGAATGTCCATATTATGTATCCTCTTTAAATACGACTTATGTACGTTTTAATAGAACATTATTTTCAATCTTCTCGTCTAATCTGTTGTTGAATCTCTTTAATTGAACTCACCTTCCGTTGACTTCGGGTTCGGCGCGCCTTATAAGAGCGTCGAGAAAGTCGATTTTATTCGTGAAAACATGTATATGCTTGTCGGGGTGACACTTTTTGATATTCGCATAAAGTGCGGCGACATAGCCTTTCTCTTTCGTTGTCGTCTCACCCACTAAGATTTTATAGGCCTTTTCGATCTGTAGATTAAAAAAATTACAAATTATGAGTTATCTATTTCACGTATAAATTCAATAACATTACCTTCGTACGACAGCCATTACAGAATTTATGTTTCTTGAGATAATTCTCCAACACTTCATGCAGTTCTTTTGTCTCAATCACGGCCAACTCATCACGACAATTGTGTTTCATCGAGGACCAGACTTCACGCCACGTTTCCGAAAATGGTTTCGAACGGAATGCATCCAACGAGTGCAGCACACATCGGGTTTTATTCCTTAATTTACTTTCCAGCAGGTTATTTAGAATTTCATGATGACGATAGAGGAGTGTACCCAGCGCCTGTGGTGTTTTCATTTTCTCTTCGGCTATACTAAGGACACAGGAATTTTTCAGTACCAGGGGATCCAGCGTGGGATGGCCGGACATTGATAGTTGATAGAAGAGGCGTTCGACAAGGCGTCGACAACCGACACACTGTACGCATTGATTTAGAACGGATACGAAGGTTTTGCTGCTAATCTCCAATGATGTATGTAATTCATCCGTGGTTAGTAAATTAAATTTGCGGGTAAACTCTTCGAGTTCTTTGCCACGAATGTGTGGACTATCGATGCACAAGCCTTTGCTATTTAAATCCATTAACATCTGTAAAGGCAAAAATAAAGGGGATCATTTAATAAAAAAGTATTGGAAATTTTGAATTTTGTTTTTAGAGATTCCTCAGAAAAAAATCTAGTTTTCTTTTAAATTAAATCAAAAGAAACTTAACAACAACTAATGTTACCTTCAAGATAAGATATAAGACCTTAATAACCATAACCAGAGATATTCTCAAAATGTTTATTACACTGTTTTTTGCTTTATGACAAAAAACACGTGCATGTATGTATGTGTGCGTGTAAAAATCATACACACATTCTCTCTATAGTCGGCAAATTCACATTTTATTAAAATGCATTTTAATAACACAAAAAAAAGCAGGGAGAAAGACGACCCAAAGTTGGATATTTTATCCGCATAAAAATATCAAAAATATATAGCTACAAATAAACTTCGGATCAAATCTTTTGTGTCGTAATTATAAATTGAACCCCTCACATCGGAAGAGAGTAAAAAGCAGGAGAGCAACAAACAGGCAGTTGTTTGAAGTACAATGAAAAAGGTTTTTGTTTTTTGTTTAACTGTAAGTGATGATGACACAAATTATTCGGGGGTTATGGGGTAGGGTGCGGTTCTAATATATGTCGTATATTTGTTTTGTTTTCTTGTTAGGCTGAAGTTCATTCAACACATAAATGCAATATTAAATATTGTTCTTCTTTGAGTAAAAACAAAATCAAATAATATTCACAATGCAACAGTTCAAAAGAATTTTTCTTAAATATGGTCCAAAGACCTATACATATAAAGGGCGCTGCATATACATTTTTTTACGAATCTTTCTAAAAAATCACTTAGAAATTGGCCTTTATTGAAGATTGATATTTTCTCTTTTTTTTCAAACAAATTAGACAAATTCTTAAAAAGGTTTGATAATGATGTAAATTCCTCTTTTAATCGAGCTAAGCTCCGACTGAAAGTCTTTTACAAAGTTATAATAGTCGGCCGAGAATTTTCGGCAATATGCCCGCTACTTCATTAGCGAATGTGGGTAATATTTAAACATATATTAGCATATTATTTTATTTTCACAGAAAACTGCATATATCTGAAAAACTAAATAATCCAAACCTTAATATAGACCATAAATTGAATTTGAGTACCATTTAGTACCAAATTTCATGATTCGAGCTCTAAAGTGATCCCTAATCCAAGTTTCAGGATTTCAACTCTATTGGTTCACCCACAATTCAAATTGCACCAAATTTAGTACAAAGTAGCACGAATTTCTATCGGTTCCTACCAACCACACTGATCCTAAATCCAAGTTTCAGGATTCCAACTCTTTCGGTTCACCCACAATTCAAATTGTACCAAATTTGGTACAGAGTAGTACGAATATCTAAAACCTCTTCCTTACCACAAACCTACACCACCATAGTGATCCTAAATCTAAGTTTCAGGATTCCAACTCTATCGGTTCACCCACAATTCAAATTGTACTAAATTTAGTACATACTATCCTAACTCCGAATTTGATGATTCTGGTTATATTGTTTCACCTAAAATTCAAATTGTACCAAATTTCAAAATCATCTCCTTAAATAAACTCTACATCCCAACCCTTATTCGCATTCTAAATTTCAAATTTTTAGCTCTATTCATTCACATGCTACGAAATTGTACCAAATTTAGTACATTTTAGTTGTGTCCATAAGGCTATAACACCCAAGCAAGTACATAAGGAGACACCCTGTTGCAGTTCTCTGGGCAGCTTTCAGACAGGTCTGGATATTCCTCCACTGCGCCTCACATTCATTCGCAAACCACACTGGTGCCGCATAGCTTACCACTGATCGAACTATTGCCTTATAAGAGGACAATAAGGTTTCTTTGTCAGTGCCCCAAATGCTGCCGGCTAGAGTATTGAGGAACTTGTTGCTACTTTTCAGCCTTTTGCGTAAAGCAGTAGCTTGCGCAGACGACTTGAAAAGGTATCTTGATGTAGTTTGTGGTCAAAATCAGCTTTCCATCGCCGACCATTTGGTGAACAGCGGATATTTTTTGAGAGTTATTCTTCAGATGGAAGATATTAACAATACAAATGTAATTAATAACGGGACACGACGCCATGATCGTGCAATCATGTTGATGTACGATTATGGCTGATGTTGGACAACTGGAAAATTGCTCAACGATGGGAGGAGTAGCGCTTCAAGTGTCTTTGCTACTGGCGACAGGAGTGAAGTCGACCTGTACCATTCACCACTGCTGGCATCCTTGCCAGGCTTTAGCAGCGGGACCAAACTGCCCATTTTCAAGACTTCAGGAACTATTTGGGTAATTAACGACAATTTGAGAGCCGATGATAAATTATCAACTCCGGGTTCATCCAGCTGCTTAAGCATTACCATGGTTATTCCGTTAGGGTTCAACGCTTTGGAGGATACAGCGTTTTTAATTACATCTACACCCACCTTCGCCCTCTTCGGCACGGAGTGCCCTTATGTGACGTTGTACACTCCTGCATTGTTTCACGTCGTCTAGCCACTTTTTCCTTTTGTGGTTGCCAGGTTACGTTATTTATCAGATCCACTGTCATAATGGTGATGTCTAGCGAACTGTGGCAATATGGACAGAGTGGAGTCACAAGAACTTCATATGGTTCTTGTTAGAATTATTTTTTTTTTTCAAAAAATAGAATTTTTTTCAAATTTTGTCTAAATCCAGCAAACTTAGATAAGTATATGTCCAGGGGACCATTTGACTTTTGGAAGCCCATTGTATTATTGTAGTTAGGACTTCAATTGCTTTAAATTGATACCCATTAAAAATGCCTTAGGGAATTTTAAAAAAGCATATGAGAATACAAGGTCACCGCGGAACTTTAGAGGCTCATACATCAGGTAATATGGATTTCCACTGTAATTAGGTTCCTAGAACTATTGATGGTAAAAATATCAAATAGATCCTCGACTGGGACCTAGCGTGCGTAGGAAAATTATTTTTTTGGAAAATCGCCAATTTTTGACCAAAAAATAAGCAGGAAAATTTGAAAGATCTTCAATAATTGGCTGAGTGACCGACCACCCGGAATAGTATTTCTTCCTAATATTTACAAAGATCTAAATATACAATCAAATTTGTATGTCTGAATACAACATACCCTCTTTTCCACACAATAGCAATGCATGAAACTCCATGCGACAACTGATCATCTGATATTAACAAAATTCAATTTTCCCAACTCTGATTTGTGCTATGCGTTTTTTATAAAATAGCGCAGTAGTACAACAACAACTACACTCTACGAAATTGAAATTGTATGTTGAACCTGTTTTGTGCACAGCAGCTTCTTCTTCTCCGATATGCGGTTGGTCACAGTCACAATGAAAAATTCGAAACAACAACACACCAGCAACAATAATAATAAGCCACACTAATAATAAAAAACAACAACAAAAGATTAAATCCCATAAATTTAACTATCAAAGAAAGTTTTTTTACAATTTAGTTTTTTTTAAGAAAATGAAAAGTGAGCTTCTTAATAAAAAAACAAATCTTTGTTGGGGCATTTTGTTTACCACCACCAACGAGGAGGAGGAAGTGTATGGGGTTTGGTGGGCGTAGCTCAGTAATGCTATTGATCTTGGGGAAAATACCATTAGTTGGCAAGCAAGGGAACAAAAATTTTTGTTTTCAAAATATTTTCAATACAAATCCAAATTCATAATAGTTTGTATTAATCACCATCGAATATTTTACATTGAGCTGGGGACAAGTTTTTGTTGTGTCTTTGCCTTTTGGTCTACAGAAACAAAAACAAACCGAAAACAACAACAACAGTGTTGCGTATAGTGAGCAGCTCGACGTCATACCAAAACCGTAGACAAAATACGACAAACTCTCGCATGATAAGTGATAAACAATTTTAAAATTCAAGGTTTTCCCAGTCCAAAACAAATAAATTAAAGAAGGCAATAATAATAATACGACTACTACTAATAATCGGCGAAGTAAACGACATCACTTTAACATACATTTGTACACATGAGAATGTATGTTTATGCGGCGAACAAGACAGTGCAAGAAGATACATCCATCCATCGCACCAAAAAATATACTCTAACAAGTTTAATCAGCGTCAGTCAGTCAGTCAGCTGCACCTTAAACTGGGTGGGGAGGGAGGTGGTATGTGGATGTGGGCAGGGTGGTGGTGCGGCGGATGCAAATCGTGTTATGATTATTATAATGGTGGTAGTGACTGGTGTGTGGTGGTAACAATGAAAGACGGCAACTCGCACAGAAAATAAAACCGACCAACTGACTGATGGACGGTCGGACCAACCAAAAACAATAATAATTTTCCCCAGAAACGTTGTTACATTTCTTCATCACGATGAAACAGAAAAACTAACTACTGTCACTACTACTAACTACTACGCTGATTACGAAGAATATGTATGCTCGCTCCTCTTCTTCTTCACGTCTTGCTACTGCTGATGAACCCAACAAAAAAAAACTTGGGAATTGGTCTTCCACTTGACTAGAAAAACTGTGTTAATCATCATCCTCACCAGGTTGGGGTGGAAGATGATGTTACTCCTTTTTCTGCTGCTTCTTCTTACCATTAAATTATCATCACCAGCACTGACGGGCAATTGTCTCCGGCCGACGTTCACATAACTCATGTCCTCCATTCTATAGACGTAGGTTAGACGCGCCATGTTTTATTAATAAATTAAAAAATAAAACACAGAAACAGCAGAATTCACTCGCTTATCGTTTTCTTTTCTTTTTTTGTATTTCTCTTCTCGTATTTTCGTCTTCTTCTCATCCACCACGTATGCCACTTATTTCTGGTTATTGTATCAATAAACCAGCCACAATCCGTAGATAATTATAATATTTACAAAAAAATTACTCCTTAAAGGGGCTTTTTTATGCAAAAAACTAAATAAATGTGTTTTCTTTCTTCGGTCTTTCTTATTTTCCACTTCAGCACTACTAATAAAAAAAGAAGAACCGATGTGAAATTTGACAAACTTGACTCGTCGTCTCGTTCAGCAATTTTTTCCTTCTTTGATCACAACGAAATGAAGGCGGAGAAGGTTGCCATATGTTGTAGTTGATTGTGCAACTCTGTTGATGGTTTAATAATTCGTATTTTGGAAAAACAAAGTTTAGGAGTCGTAGTTAATTAATAGGAGGATACTAATTTATTGTAATTTAATTAATTTGTGATAATTTGAAATGATTATATTATGAAATTAATTGTTAATCACTATCAAAACAAAAAACATATGAGCCCTTTTTGATGGAATTACATGGCATCACTATGCGTTCAGTGTTGTATATTGAGGGCAAAGCATATGGGTGGTAGGTAATGTATCAACTCTGTACAGCCGACCAGCGTTGATATTTGGTCTCACCCAATTTGGGGTGTTCATATGTTGGCATATGTTAAACAACATATAGGAAGAAGCATTGGTTATTAAAGGGATAAGCAGAATGTTCGCGTTGAGCGATTTTTTACCCTTACCATACTATGGTACAGGGTATTATGTATTTGTGGAAAGGAAAAAAACATATACACATGGTTCCTTTTAATAATAAGCATAGAATCACTTTCTGAGTCGATTTACGCATGTCCGTCCGTCCATGTATTTTTGTGAACAAAGTACAGTTCGCATTTATGATCTGATTTAGATAAAATATGGCACAATTCACTTATTTGACACAAGGACGAACCCTATTGAATTTGGAGAAAATCGGTGTAGATTTAGATATAGGTCCCATATATACTTTCATTCGATTTAAAGTTAATGATGCACCAAACTCCCAATATTTGTCCGATGAGGACATCATTTTGCACAGAGTACTGAATTAGATCCAGACTGATGTCTACTAAGTTTTGTTAAAATCAGTTTAGATTTAGATATAGCTCCCATATATTTTTTCGTCCGATTTTTTGTGAATAATACACCAAACTCCCAAAATTTGTCCGATTGGGACAAAATTTTGCACAGAATACTGAATTAGGTCCAGACTGCGAAGTCTTTTTAAAATCGGTTCAGATTTAGATATAGCTCCCATATATAGTTTCGTCCGATTTTTTGTAAATGGAACACCAAAGTCCTTATATATCTTTCTATTTGCACGAAATTTGGCGCAGCGCACTTAATTAAGTCTAGATTTTATGTAAATGGTGCACCAAAGTTCATATATATCTTTCGATTTGCACGAAATTTAGCATAGCGTACTGGGCCTAGAATGATGTGTTAAGTTTCGTGAAAATCGGTTCAGCGCACTTAATTGAGTCTAGAATGATGTGTGCTAAATTTTGTGAAATTCGGTTCAGATTTTGATACAGGTCCCATATATATTTGCGTCCGATTTTATGTATATGGTGTACCAAAGTCCGTAAATAAATTCCGATTTGAACCAAATTTGGCACAGCGCGCTTAATTGAGTCTATCTCCCATATATATATATATATATATATATATATTCGCCCGTTTTAATGTAAATGGTGCAACAAAGCCCCTATAAATTTTCCGATTGGCACGAAATTTGGCAAAACGTACTGAATTAAGTCTAGAATGGTATGTGTTAAGTTTTGCAAAATCTAAAGATGAATTGTCTGTTCTATCTACAGGATACTGTATATATTCGCGCCTCTTGTATGTACCCATAGTGGTGAAGGGTATCATATAGTCGGATCCGTCTGATTATGTCGATGTCCGAGATGATAGGTTCATTCGACGATAATATTCACTATCGACGCAGATCAGCCCATAGATCTTCCGGAGAATTATTCTCTCAAGCACTCCAAGAGTTGTCTCATCTGCTTGCGTTGACCAAAACTATTCTCCTCCGGACTTTAAAGCTGATTTTATTAGTTTTGTTTATGGCGGTTCTGAGATATAAAAAATTTGTCACTACCTCAAAGCTGTAGTTTTCGAGTTCAATAGTTGGTCCGAGTCCACTGGACGTCTTGCGCGATCATACCATCAGCTTGGTCTTCTCGGAATTTACTACCAGTTCCACTTTGGCAGACTCCTTCTTATTTCGTTCAAAGGTGGCTGTTACCGTTCGCAATGTTCGACCCATTATGTCGATGTCGTCGGTGTAGGCGAGTAACGTATGCTGTTTGGTGTACAGAGCGTAATTTTGTTCACATTTGCATCTCGTATGACCTTTTCCAGCAGGATGTTAAGCAGGACACACGATCACCTTGTCTGAATCCTCGTTCGGTATTGACTTTGTGCCAGTTAATATTATCCTGCCTAGTTGTATTAATTTTGCAGGAATACCGAAAGCAGTCTTGACTTTAAAAACCTCTGAACGGATAGGGCTGTCGAATGCGGTTTTATAGTCGACGAATAGGTGGAATATGTCAATGTGTTCTTCATGGGTTTTTTCTTCCAGGATCTGGTGCGGCCTCTGTAGTTGGCACATATAGTCTTGTTTCCTTTTTTGTGCACGGGACACAGAATGCTGAGGTTCAAAATATAAGTCCCGATAAGTCCCATCTTTAAAAATTATACAGTCATCGTTGAAATATTCATCGGTTTGATTCAAATCGGATAGTCAGTTCACATATTATAAAATTTATTTTCAGCAAAATTTTGACCATTTTCACATCCGATGTTCCCCATCATTGAAACTTGGAAAAATATTACGATATGCAAAGTTTGGATGAAATCGGTTACTCTTTTCGAGAGTTATCGTGCACACCAGCCAGACAGACACACCGACAGATGAAAATTTATCAATTCACTCTGTTATGTCATAAAAATATTTTATATATGTGTCTTTTTTACATTTATTTTTGAAATCACGAAGTGGTTAACCCTGTATTTGTTGTACTTCTACATCGTACCTCGTATAATTGTTGTTACCTTACCATAAAATAAAAACTTGATGTATTGCCAAAAACCCTAATGTATACACTGAAAAGCTTTCTTTGTGTCTTGGCAACTCTTATCACCATACAACGAAGGCGTAAAAAAACAATTGGGCAACACCACAAAACCTAATTGGTAAAATATTTTTACAGCGAGCCGCGCAGAAAAAGTGCCGTACCAAAATAAGTATTTTGCAGATAATTTGCACAAAATAGCAGACGAACGGAGCGGGTTTATCACGAAATTAGTTGATCCATCGGTGCAAAATATGTCTCAATATCATTATGTGGTCACGGCACAAAAGCCAACCGCCGTTGTTGCCTGTGTTACCGGTGAGTACAATAGTTTGGAACAGAATAGTAGCATCTTTGCACTCACAATTCATTGCATTTTGCAAACATGCCGCTACTCAATGGCCGATAATCTAAAAAATATGTTTAAAAGGGAGGAGTAATAAATGTTTGTTGTTGTTTCCCAGGCAATTTTACATCGCCCACAGACTTGAACTTGATTATTGCCCGAAATAGCCAATTGGAAATTGATTTGGTTACACCGGAAGGTTTGAGACCCCTCAAGGAAGTGAATATCTATGGGCAAATTACGGTGATGAAACATTTTCGTCCTCAGGTAAATTTCATGCTTTTTTGCAATTTTATATGTAATTGTGATGGTTTTTTGTTTTTCTAGGACAGCAAAAAGGATTTATTATTCATTCTCACACATCGTTACAATGTAATGATATTGGAATGCCGCATGATCGGCGATCAAATTAGTGTGGTGACCAAAGCACATGGCAATGTCGCCCATCAATATAGTCTACCCACCGATGGTGGAGTAATGGCGGTCATCGATCCTAAAGCACGTGTTATTGGTATGTGTTTGTATATGGGTCTGTTTACCATTATACCCTTGGACAAGGAAACCAGTGAGCTGAAGGCAACAAATTTAAGGTGAGTGTGAAAACTTTTAAAAATTATTATGAAATAACATGGAAATGATGTAAAAAAGATCGGATGTGTTGGAGAACTAAAAAAGGACATCAAAATGTTAAATTAGGATATATTTGGAAAAGGAAGGATGGTCTACTTATTTTCTAGAAATAATTATGGGTAAAAAATATAAATATGGACAGGGTTGGAGTGTAGAAGAAGTCCAGAAAACGAAGGTGGAAGCACCGTACCAAATCAGGAAACTGAAATTGCTTCAGACGGAACTATTTGGACGAGAATTAAAGAGGATGATGTTACGGGCAAACTACCAGATCATAGTGCTTTCAAAGATGTACCCGGGCCAAAAGCACATGCTGAAAGAAACATTATGAACGGGAATCTAAGTAGTGCGTTCCTATTACTGATTGACAACCATATTTTGAAACATATACGAAATTGTACACAGTTAGAAGGCACTCGAGTTTTGGGAAAAATTCGCTATTGCGCAAGGAAAATTGAAGGCCTTTCTTGCAGTACTGTATGCACGTTAGGCGTACGGAAATACTTCGAAGCTTCAATATTTGTTGAACAACTAGTGGGCACCATAATTTTTCTTCAGTACTATGAGTGGACAGGACCTTACTGAGATTCTGCGATACATTCGTTTCGACAAAAGAAATCAGAGGAGTCAAACGTTGCAAACAGACAATTTCGTTTTAGTCTCAGCACTTTGGGATACATTTATTGAAAACAGTGAATTTGCAGCTTTTTCCATCGAAGGCCAGATGTAGGTTTACTCAGTATATGCCAAACAAAATGCATACATTTGGGATAACATTTTGGTTGACATCTGATGTAGAGACGAAATATGTAGTAAATGGCTATCCGTATTTAGGAAAAACGAGACTCGAA